GGGCGCTGTAAAGCTTTCTAGCACAGGGCGCCTAAAGGCCTAAGGCCGGCCCTGTTGAGGATCTACAGCCGAGTGATACACAAATATGCTACATTTTTGTTAATAGTTAGGGTACTTGAATGCATTTTTAAGATTTAATTCCTGAGTTTAGTGTCACTTTAAATCATTACTACATCATCATCAATTGTGCTACTTTGTTGGCCTTGTGGATAACACAGGTTTAGCTACCATATGGAAATCTGCTAGTGAATTAATTCCGCTAAATACAAATGCAAATTTAGAAACAGCAAGGCATTCACAGAATAGCAAAATAAAATTATCATTCCTGTCTCCATTGAAACCTTTTAATATTTTTTGTAAATTTGCAGAAAATTGCTGTGGTGCAGCAATTCACAATATGCCTGCACCACAGTACAAAAATAATCTAATCAGCTTATTAGGCATGACAACATACCGTACCCACCACCACCACCACCACCAAAAATGTAACAAAATTGGAATAGGACAGCAGTAGACCTCTGGTTTCCAGTCGTACCAAAAGTGCATGATAACTGACAGACTGTCAATATTTCTTTTAGCAGAAATTCTGCGCACACCCACCATGGGTTACTTTATATCAGTGCACCCAACCTAGTACATTTCTCTTGCTTGCTACAGTGAAGGCCTATAGAATTATTACTAGGTCACTCATAGCCCATTCTCCTAATCAGCATTCATGATTTGGCACAGGATAGTTTACCACTGCTCATCGGTCACTCAAATTTCTCTTTACAGAAGGCAGGCTCAGCCACTGCTCCATCCTCACTTCTCCTTATGAAAAAGACCCAGACTCTTCAATTCACTTCACCCTCTCTGCATCCATTTATGACCCCCTTTCTCATGGGTACATTTACAGGATGTTTTGATGGCGTACTTAAAGAAGATAACATCCAAACATCTGGATAGGTCAAAATAAGTGATTTCACTGGCAGAACTTCAGTCTCTCACACAACAAAAACTTTAAGAATACGCTCCTTCTTATAAAGACAATGATTGATTAGTCCTCTATTTCTCCATAGTTTCCAGGGCTCTCTCTCTCCATGTTGTTCACTCACAGTTAGGCAGTGTAGTAATGCCTCTTTTCAAACCCTCCAATGGGAGTAACAACAGAACATTCTGGGGAAAACAGCCAAAGGTACCGTGCTCCCCTAGGGCATGGGATGCACCAAATATGTAGCCTGTGTAGTTGCACAGTGCTAATTACACAATAAGCAGAATGACAGGGCCGCAAAATAAAGAAGTGGCTCCACCTCACCCTGGTATTTTAATTAAATGTATAGTATATAAGAAAGTTAGAAACTTGGGCTTGTCTGCCGGCTTTCTTCTTATTTTCTCTCAGAGTGAAGTCTGCATGGAGTTACTGGGGAGAAGCTCAGAGAAGATGCGACTGTGCTGAGCAGAGTGAGGCACTGCTGATCATTGGAGTGGTGTTACATCTTGATGGGAAAGTTGACGTCCAATAATCAAGTACCCTTACCCTTACCTTTACCTCAGGAAATCACCCAGCCTTCTAAAACCGCATAGGGAAAAGGCTGGCTTCACCTGGTGACGTCACCACGCGCGAGCATCTAATTGACGCCTGCCGGTGGTACCGCAGGGATTACAGAGGCAAGAATTAACAGGAAGTCCGACTGGGTGAAAAGACACGTTGCTCGAACGGCACGGAACAAGTGAGCTGGACTTTTAATGGAGAGGTTCAGAGTGGATTGGCAGGAAGCCAAGCAGCTCAGACAGGAGGTAAAACCCGGCGACGGATCCTCACACAGGGAAGTGTGACACCGGCATAGAGAGGGGGGACGTTCACCCGGCGGGATGAGGTATGCCGCCTGGTCCCCTCCTCTCTCCTGACACTGTCGGGAATCTCGGCCCATGACCAAGTGCCCAACTTTATAGAGGGGGTGACACCTCAGTCATTTTGGTGTCGCCCCTCCAATGGTGTCACCTGGGTGCGGGCCGCACCCCCCTTGTGACGTTACTGGGGACATCTCATCTACTGCCTGCGATTCCATCGAAAACTCTGTCAACATGTTTAGATGAGACGTTGCTAAGACCAATGGTGGTACCTAGAGGAGCAGGGGTACAAACGTGTGAGTAAGCAATGGGCTGAACACCTTGTTATGGAAATTCGCTTGGTTCAACGCACAAATCCATACTGCGCTAGAGTGCGCCAAAGTATGTCAAACACAAAGAATTTCCCCCGGTGCTTAAAAGCACAGTTGTATTACGCTCTTTTGTGTGAGGACTGGCAGTACCTCTTTTGAGTCA